GATCATCCCTCGAGTAGCTAATATAGCGACCGGAGGAGGTTCTCCGACCGAATGTCACAGTAGGTGGAAGAGGAGGCTTCTGTGCTTCAGATGCATCAGAAGCTGTGGACAAATTTGAACGGTTTGGCTTGAATGACTTTGATGCCATTGTCAAACTCAAAACAAGTTCTTAAGTTAAATCCAGCAGCTGCATAACAAAAAACAACATCTAATGTCCGAAAACGCCACAAACAGATCAAAATCAAACAATGATTCATAATGCATTGTATGATCGAACAATCTCAAACCCCAAAAGAAAACACAGGTTTATAAAAGGATTCAATAAACAGACCTTATCAGCAAAGAGTAGACGAAGCCCACTTCAGAGAAGCCTAAAACTGGAACAATCGGAGCAGATTGCCGGAAAGTTCTTGCCCCAAATGGATGGATTAGAAGAAACCCACTTCAGAGAAGCCAAAAACTGGAAGAATCGGTACAGATAGCAAGAAAAATCTTGCCCAAATGGATGGATTAGAAGAAACCCACTTCAGAGAAGCCTAAAACTAGAACAGTTAGCCACAATCGGAACAGATAGCAAGAAAAATCTTGCTCAAATGGATAGATTAGGAGAAACCCACTTCAAAAAAGCCTAAAACTAGAACAATCGAAACAGATAGCCAGAAAAATGTTGCACCAAATGGATGAACTGAAGGGCTTCACCATTCCCCCATTGAGAACGGGAAAGCAGAGAAAAAGAGAATGAGGATTGATCGTGAGGAGGACTAAGAGCACTAATAGGGCATGATTGAAGGAAAAAGAAGAAATAGTCAAGATTGCCAACACTAATCGACCATGATTCCAGGGTATCCTTGAATTATTCCATTCCCATATCAATTTTATATACAAAAAATGAGAAGAAACGTCACCGATGGAGGAAGCTTCAGGTGGGCTCAATGAAACAGAGGTGATGCTCTGTTTTTTGGGAATTAAGAAACAGTAATGGCGGAGATGAGTTTGATTCGGGTTCGAACCATATGGATTTCGTGAAGATTTGGGTTTGAATATTTAATTAGAGGAAGGTAGTGAAGGAGGGCATGGAAGAAGTCGTGAGGTTTCTCTATCAATGGTAGGTTTCACTGTGATGCAGACAACGTGGAGAGAAAAGTGGACTTTTACTACGCGGAGGGAGAAACAGAGCCAAGGAAAGAACAAGAAAAAAAAAATGCAAATAAGGAAAGTGAACGAACACAGGCGGTGGAAAATCTTCAATTTTCAATAATTTTAATTTGTAAAATTAATCATTTATTTTATTTTGTTTCCTTTTTAGATTAAAAAGTGTTAATATCATTTACTTTCGCTTGGGTCGATTTTGAAGCTCACATCTTCAAGAGAGGGGCCGAGGGGCCGAGTACATACACGAAGCGGTCCTGAAAATTGCCAAAACACTTCTTTTCTATTCTTTTTAGTTACAAATGTTAGAATATATTCAAACTTTGATTTGTTCGTGGGTTGGATTACGTCAAGTTAAAATGCTTTTTAAACCCAATTCAATGGTTCGAGTGGTAAATGTGTCAACCCTAGACAACACTTATTATGTTAGTTCATGAACGTCTATGTATTTATTTTTAAATATTTAATTATAATTTGCAACCCAATTAAAAAAAATATATTTTAAAAAATTAAGAATAAATAATAAAAATATAAATTCAATGAATAAATTTTTTATTTACAACACTCCTGCTTTAGAAAAAAAATTATTAAAATAAAATATAGAAAGAAATTTAATTAGTCCATAAATTTAAAAGTTATTTCTAAATCTACCAATAAAACTATTATTATTATTTAGGGTTGAAAATTAATTTATAAATTTAGAAAGTAATTAGAAAATAAATTAAAATGAAAATAAAATAATAATAATAATTGCATGGCACATGAGGAAAGAAAATAAAAAGAGGGAGAAAAAGAAGAGAAAATATGGGAAGCATGATGGCTAATGAACAGGTAATAATTAAATTAAATTAAATTATTATTATTACTATTTATTATTTATTATTATTTGTAGAAAAAAAGAAATGGGAATAGAGAATGAGATTGTCAGGAAACCGTGTCCAATCCATTGGCCTGTGTGAATGCCAGCTGTTTCATTGTCAAAAACATGCTTTCCACCCTCCATCCCTTTTATTTATTTATTTTTAAATAAATTATTTTTTTTTAATATTAAATTTGTGTCCAAGTTATTTTGTGATGGTTAAATTGTAATTTAAATACTATAATAATAATATTTTTAATCTAATAATTTATTATTTAATAATATGTAACCATTTTTTTTTTTTAATTATGTTCTTAATTGAATTGAGAGCGATCATCTGAATTTTATTTGATCTTGTGTGAATTTTTGGAAAGTACGTTCGAGAAAGATAGTTGACAATCGAGTGAAAGTCAATTCATGTTACGATGCTTTTGATGTTTTTTTTTTTTTTTTTTTTTTTTTTTTTTTTTTTTTTTTTTTTTTTTTTTTTTTTT